CTGGCCAGTGCTCTTGGGAAATGGCTCCAGCCTGGGGAATGATTTAGGGGAGACAATTTAGAAGTCAGGATGATTAATGTGTGCGACTTCTCCGGCATGCCGGAGGGGATAAATCAAGGTGGAATGGGGAAGCAGGGCATAAATCCAGAGGGTGTCTGCATGGGGCTGGCATGGAGGAAGGCAAGGCTCAGCCTGGGCGGCCCCTGGTGCATTGACACCACTGGCTGAGGCTGCTGCTGGTGAGGATGAGGAGGGTTCCATGTGTGCACCCAGGGCACACAGCATTGCTCAGTCGGATCCTCTCCCATGGCATCCCGACGTGGGCACATGAGGTTACATTATCTGGAAGGGAAGGATCCAGGAGCTGTCCTGGAGCCCCTTGCAGAAACCCAGGAATAATTTGTGAAGATGAAGGAAGGGAAAGGTCTGTGTGTCTGCAGGAGGAGAGAAGCGGGGGGGAAAGGGAGATTTTATTACAGAAATTTGCCAGAGAGACTCTTTAATAATGTAATTCATCTTTCTGTCAAACACGTCACATTAGTGCAGTGAAAAGGAACTTTGAGAAGATGAATTAAGACTTAAATACATTAAAATGACTTAAGAAATATTTAAATGCAATACAATTTATTTTCTGTGTAGGCTTGTTTCATGCCCAAGTGTCTCTGCCACTTCAGAGGCCAGTCCAAAGCCTGTGAAGTAGGCGTGCAGCTCTGCATAAGCAATGCCACTTCCAATAGCAAGGAGACTTGAATCGGTGCCCAGGTACAGGATGGGGGCTGACTGTGCCGCAGGAGCCAGACCCCTTCCTCCCCACATCCGCCTCTGCTCTGGCTCTGGAGGAGCAATGTGAGAGGGGAGAGGGAAGGAAGGAAGAGCAGAGCCTGGAGCTGCTTGTTCTGCAATGGTGCTTGGTGGAGGCTTTCTGCTGGTGGGCACTGGGGCAGAGCTCTCTCTGCTCCCCCTGTTTGTCTGCCTCATGGCCAGGGCTTCGGGTGACTCTGAGTTTGTTTCTGCTCCTCAACCCAAGGTGCTTCATGAGAGAGAAGCCACAGGAAGACACTTGGAGTCATTCAGCTGCTAGGAAATAAGCAGTGGGAGGGATGCTGGAGCAGAGAGCGTGGTGAATGCGGCTGCAAGAATTGAACTTTCCCTGCCACAGAGCGCGCTCTGAAAGCGTTCCATTATCTCCCTGCGCCCATAGAAATGGCTGGAATTGCTTCCCAAAGTCTTTAAAGGAGCTCTGTATAAAAGGCACGCGGCTGCTCTGTGGCAGAGGAAATTAAAACCCTCAACAGCAGCTTGTCTGTGTGCATTGGGAGTGAAGGGTTCATCTGGAAGCATCCTGCTTTCCATCGGCTCTCCCTGCATGGGGCAAAAGTGGCATAGCTTTGCTCGGGAGGAAGGGTGTAGAGGGCACCCACCCTCAGTGAAGGAAGACAACACAAGGCAGAAGCTCCCTGTTGTACCAGTGTGGAAGAGCACGGGATTGCTCGGGGATGGAGAGCACTGGCAGGAACACGTGTCCTGACCCGGCACGTTGTCAGGTGCAGGCTCAGCATCCCCCTGAGGTCACCAAGTTAAACGGAGCTGGATTTAAACAGGAGCTGCCTAATTTGTGATCAATAGCAACATTTGTAAGCGTGCATAGGAGGCAGAGGGCTAATCAGCTAATGGCTGCCGAGGTCGAAGGGTTCCCCCTGCAGCAACAAGCTGGCTCTGTGAGCGGGCACGGCTTCATCTCCCTCTGAAGCAGGACACACCGCTCTGCAAGGGTGAGGTGACAGCCTGGGCCACTCACCAGGTCTGTGCAATTACACTGAGCATGTGGCATCCATGACTTGAAGCCACCGTGGCCTGGAAGGGGATGGCTCCAACGGAGCCATTTGGGCTGCCTGGTGGAGGAATGTTCTCCCTGTGCTTGGACTCCATTCCCAGGATAGTGTTTTCCCGCTGGCCTCCCCATCCCTGATGCTCAGCTGATCGGAGGGCGGGGAGGTTTCATTGCTGCAGAAGCACACAGCAGTGTGTTTGGTCTGCGTGACCTTCCCCTGTCAGTAACGATCCTTCCTGAGAGTCCTCTCCCTGCAAACATTCCCCACCATCGGCTTAAATGGGGCAAGAAGCTATTGCTCTACAAATAACATCGTTGGAGCAAATTGGTTTGCTAAGATCATAATTCTCTAGCTATGAAACTGCAGGTGCAGTAGCTCCAGCTTTGTTTCCTTGCCTGTTACTGGGCACTCTCATCATTATACTGTGTAGAAATCCCTCGGAGTTATTCCAGCATGTAATACATGTCAAAATGCAGCGAGACCCCATTGCCATGCTGCATATGTATTTATGGAGCACCATCCCCGGGCACAGGAGAGCCGGTGCAGGGTGAGGGCATGCAAACAGGACCCCTCTGCACCGTCAGCCTTCCCTGCTTTCCCACCTCCATCTCATCCTCAGACATGAGCTCCTGCTGAACCACAAACTGATGAGCTCCCCGATGTGACAAATAACTGCTGTATAATTGGTGTAAGTTGTCAGAGCGTTCCGGCGCGCTCCCGGTTGGATGTGCTGCAGTCATCCTGCAGTTTAGACTCCCCTGATCTCGAGTCCTGTCTCTGCAGGATTTACAAGCAGGATCTGAGCACATGTACATGCACAAACATGCTCGGGAACAGAGCGAGAGCTTGCGCTTGTCTTTCCCATCCTAATCAGGAGGCGTTATCCTTCCCCAGCCTGATCTGTGTGGAACTGGGGCCACCGTGACATAGCCTAGCAGGGTGATGGCACTGGAAGGCTGGCTTTGGGTCTGCTTCCTGGAATGTGATCTGATGTTAAGGGGAAAACCAGCAGGTTAGAGACTGTTGAAAGCAAAGGATGTCAGGGATCAGGAATGGTGCTTCCCAAGGGCTCTCAGGGCTGGAGGGACCCCGGCCTCCTCGCTCCATGCCTCTTTCTAGTCCAAGCCTCTCTCTGTCTCTTGCTCTGCAGAATCCCATTACTGCCTGTGATATATTTCTGGTCAACCTCAGATAAGTTTTCCCCCTTGCCTTTATTTTATGTCCTCTGCAGGGTTTCAGGAGCTTTAGAATCTTTTGCTTCCCTTTCCTAGGACGCGTTTTACGAGGTTTTAATTACTCTTGTTTATTGTTATCGTGCTTTAACTGCCTGCTGGGTCCCTCCGAGCCCGAGAGGGAGCAATTTATAACTAATACTAGTTTTATTATTACGATTATTCCCCAGCTTCCCTGGGTTCTCCGCGCCTCCCCTCTGCCCCTTCCCTCTTTTACAGGCCTCTCTGTTAAGTTCCTTCCTCTCATAAGTCAGACCTGCCAAACCCTCTTGGCTTTGTTTCCACTTGACTTTAAACGCTCTTTCTTCCTGCTTCTAGTGAGAAGTGTAACGGTGCTGGAGGAGTTACTACTGCGTGTAGCCCTGCAGCGACACAGCAACCAGCCTCAGGCACCACCTTGGACCGTGACCACGCTAACCCCAAGGAGCTGGGATGGATCACGGTGCATCAGCGCGCTGCCGCAGCAGTGACTGGCTGTGAGCAGGGTGAGAGCTGCAGAGCGCTGCAGGCTCCTGGCCTTGCCTTGCTTTGTGTGTGGGTGATGGTGATGTGGGCATTGCCTGGTGTGCGGGGCAGGTGGAGGTATGTGAGTGAAGGTGCTGCTGCACCGGGAGCCACAGTGGTGGTGCCTGGGTGGCTGGTTCATCTCTCCTGTGTGCTCGCTCTCTATGGCTATCTCTGCTAATGAGCCTGCTGGCAGGAGCAACTGCATGGACAGCACTTTTGCAGGCACTGCCTGATAGAAATGAAGTTTTAGCTCATAAAGGCAAGAGCTGTTGACCAAACCTGGCGCTAGATGCACCAGCCATGGGATGTACACCCGGGACTGATGTCCCTGTGGGGGCTTGGCCATGCAGTGACTGGGATGTGTGCAGCAGAAAACATGAACTTTTATTCCCTGACAACCAGAGGAGGGAAATGGAGGCAAAACGTGTGCTGCTGTTGTTTGTTAGGTACCACGTGTCGGGCTCTGCTGCTGTTCCTATATTGGAGCACCCACCTGCGACTGGCACCGCATTCCCAGGAGCATCTTCACTCCCCCCCAAGCCCAGGTCTCGCCGCTGGCAGCTCTAATGAGGGGGAAGCAAATCCAGGCTGGCAAACAAGTGTGTGTTGCACCTCTCACTGCAAAGAGATTGTTAGAGCCGGATTAAATGGGTTTAAGGAAAACGTCCTCAGGATTGGAGCTACAAATGGCTTTTTGATCAAAACAACAGCGTTCATTTTGAAACCCCAAACTGTTTCATTAAACATGTTCGGGCCTTGTTTGTTTGTGTCAGAAGCGAGAGGTTTGAAAATGGAAAACTCTTTGGTGTTGTTCTGTCTCGGACTTGCAATGAGGAAGCGAATGAGCTGCAAAGGTGATGGGCAAGAATAAGAACAATTAAAAATTTATTTCCTGGGGGGGAAAGGAGTGCTGAGAACCATTGGGAAGAAGTTCACAGGTCTGTTTTCAGACAAACTCCTCTTGGCTTAAAAGGTAGGAGCTGGCATCTGGTGTGAATGGAATCGCGCAGGGTCCTTTTGTGTCGTTTGAAGCTGGAGAGGGGAGCCCGCCCGGGATGCAGAAAGGCTTTACTGACACCTGACATTTGAGGCGATCTGCCCTTTTCCAAAGGCAAACACCTCAGAAGTGTTTTCATGAGTGGTGGCGATAATCAGGCTGCAATCCCAGCTCCCTGAAATCAATGGGATCCCTTGCAGCTGCCGTAATGGGGCCAGTGTCTGGTGCTGACTTCAGCCAGGGGCAAGTAATTCAGGAGGGGAGCAGCCCCTCTGCCCTGTGCCCAACACATGTGGGACACAGCCTCCTTTTAGCACCAGAGGGTTCTTTGGGGGGGATTCTGAGCACCACTGGTGAAAACGCAGCATCTTTCATGCAGGCAGGTAGTGACTGTGTTTCATGCAATGGGAATTGCCTTGCGGGGAGGGGAGGTCTGTGCCCTGCCATGACTGGGTAGAAACCTCTGCCTTCTACCATGTGAGTCCTCTGGTTGTCATCCCATTTCCACAGGAGGACAATCTGCAGAGCATAAGGTCGCTCTCAGCTCCAGTTCAAGCGAGAGGGATGAAGAGGAGATGTATGGCAGGTCTGTGCTGTGCGGTGATCCCAGCCCAGGCTGATGCCCGGGGCAGCTTGGCTGGCACCACTCATGCAACGATCACCGCTGCCAGTGCACCCCCAAGCCCAGCACTGGGGGGACTGGATGCACAGTCAGCCGGATCCTGCTAAAGGTGGAGACCCGTGTAAAGCGAGGCAAAACTGAGCTTCCCTCTGCAAAGCGAAGCAGCTGGTTCAACTAATTAAATGTTAAAAATTCCAGCAAGACGAGCGTACCAGAAAACAAACAGGCTCGGCAGCCAGGACGGGAAGACTTGGAAAGGATCCGCGCGCTTCCCTGCCTCTCCCATATGTGTCTGTGTAGACGCTGGCACCTGTGCAGCCATGTGTTCACACGCCGTGTTTACGGGCTCCAGCGAGCGCGTTTCCATATGGATCTGTGCGGGTCAGAGCTGCGGGGCTCTGCACCCCCATGCCACTCGTGCCTGTGGTCCCCTGCGTGTCTGGCATAGAGCTCTGTGTGTCCCTGCCGGGAGGCAGCTCCATCACTCCTTAGGTAAAGGCCTGGGGGAGGAGGGTAAATATTTGTTAGCAGTGGTTTTGCAAATTGCCACTTTGCGGGGAGGAAATAAGAGCCATCCATTTGTGCTGGCGCTATTAAAGATTTTCTATAAAGTGCCTACATTTCCAGTGCAGCTGAATGGATTTCACTGCAGCAAACTGCGAGGATAGAGAGGCACAGCGGAGGGAAATATCATATACAATGATTCACAAACACATAAAAATACCCTGCCCAGCTTGTCTCTTCTCCCACCGCACAACAAACACCTTGTGACTCATTCTTCAATGTATGGACGTGTTTGAAAATGGAAGTTAGATTCAAACATTATTCATTAAGACCTGGGATTAGTTCACTCCTCCAGTTAGCTCCTAAAAGCCAGCATGCCAAGTCAGGGTAAAACACATTTGAAGGCTGTCTTGGTCACGAGGCAGGTCTAACAGCCACGGTCCTTTTCTACATCAATGTTTCCTCATTCAGGTTAAAAAAAGGCGGAAAAGCTTAATTCCCTGCTCCTTGAATTGAATTAATCAGATAACTGAAGGTAGGTGGAAGGTAAAAGCAACGTTTTTCTTGGCAGGTACATCTAACTGGAAGGGCCGGAGCTCGCTCTGCAAGCAACAAGCTCACAATGTGTAGGAGATAAAGAGAGGGGATGGAGGGCATCGGAGGAGTGACAGCGCTCGAACGCCTTGCCACTGGCAGTGGCAAGCATCCAGGTATGAGTACGGAGCCAGGAGGTGATTTACGGTCACACACTGATGCAGTTCTGCTCACAAACACACCAACTCCCACCAGGAAGAAGCGCTAATGAACGTTCCAGCAGCTCCTCTGCTGCCTGTCGCATGTGAAGATGCCGCTGAGCACCACTGGATGCTGCAGTCGGAGCATAGGCTGGGACCAGCAACCTGTGATGGTGAGAGCTGTTTCCCCAACCCAGGGAGCCCTGTGTTTGACAGCAAACATGTAAGCTCCTTCTCACAGGAGCACAGGTGCACTGGAGAGGAGCAGGGCATGGGGCACGGCTCAAAGGACACACATCACGCACCAAAACCAGCTCAAAGCAGACGTGGGGCAGCTCACAGCCTCAACATCTGAATTCCAGGCAAGCTTGGAGCTGGCACTGCGGTTATGTGTGAGGCTGCTGCAGCCTCTCCTGCCTCTGCCAGCGGGGAGAAGCAGCACAGCTGTGCTTACTGCTGCTCGGAGGTATATTTAGTCTCGTTTAATGACAGCACGGGGCAGTTTGATACAAACATATGGACGATGCGATGCGTTTGGGCAGTCGTTCAGATAGGCGGTTGTCGCACCTACCTTTCAAATGCCCAATTCAGGCACGGCTGTCCTAGGAGCGCAGCTGAGGTTTCTATTAGCAATGCTCTGCCCGTAGGAGATGCCCTCAAAGGTTAGGTTTCTCCAGGCTATCAGCAGAAGCAATACCATGCGAGTGAGCCCCTAACAGGAGGCAGGAAGGAGCCAGCATTGCGATGCTCAGGGTGTCGGGCGCTCGCTGCCAGCCGGCTGAATGAGCTCCAGGCCACGGCAGCAGCTCCCCTGCATAATTTCACAGGACCAATACCTTTGTGAGCAGCACAAGCTGCTCGTGGGCAAAGAATCAAAATTCATAGAATAAATTACACGCACTAAATTATTTGCCCAGCTTTGTTGATTATCTGCAGTTAAAAAGTTGGAGGGAGCTGAGCTCCTCCATGCATAAACACCAGGCAGATACCTGTCATTAGGAGGTGCCAGGGTCTGGAGAGAGGAGAGAAGAAATTCCAGCCCCTGCTCTCTGCAAGCAGCCCCGAGGTCAGGATGGGCACAGCCCCATCATCAGGCCAATGTAGTAAAGGCACGGCAGGGATTACTCGGGTGTTACTTGCCCTGCTGCAGTTTGATGGTGATGCTCCTAGGCGTGAGAGGGATTTACTGTTTGCTAACGGAATGGAACAAGGTTTATGATGTTATCTGTATGTTATAGAGCATTTAATGGCATAAATACAGTTCGGTGTGAGCATCGGAGCAAGCACGTGGGTTGCTGTGAGCTGCCTTTCCAGCTCTAATCCCTAGGAATAGCTCCAGTCCTGCAGCGGAGCATGCAGGAAAGCTGTGGGAGTGAGGCAGGGATTTTGGAGATGCTGGACTTGGATTTATTTGTTTCCAATTCAGCTGCAAGAGCACGGATGCTCAGGTAAAGATTGGGGGAAGCAGTGGTTTGTAGGTAGAATCTGCTGACATGTAAATGCTGTGAGGATGATGCTGAATATCCAGGAAATTCTCTAAGCTCCATGGAAGACACCTGAGGTGGTTTTGGTCCCATCAGGAGCATGCAGACAGAGCTTTGGTGGCCCCCTGCATGCCCATGGAGGGTCCTGCTTCTGCTCCTCGTGCTCCTGGCCGCATGCTGACGCTCTCCACCAAGGGAAGGAAGCATGGGGTGGGTCAGTGCATTGAAGGTCTCTGATTGAACCCAGTGATGAATTGCAACTTGATGACTTCCTCTACATCAATGGAGCTGAACTGGCTTGGGGAAACTGTTTGATTTAAGAAGAATAGGCCTAATTTTGGAAGTGCTTCACACCCATCAATCTAAGTGAAATTCATTTATCTGAGGCACAGCTGATATGTCTCCCATTTACATAGCACTAAGTGCTTCACAATCCTTGATAGATTCAAGCTCACAGCAGGGGAAAGGGGCAGCACTGCTAGCCCCTTTGCACAGGCAGATGTGCGGTGTAATGGGAGTCAATCCATCACTCTGCCCCACACCCAGGAATGGCATCCACCTTCCAGGAATGCTGCGGCTCTGAGCGAGAGCAAAGTGGCTGTATGTGCATTCTGGTGTGATGTACACAGGGGAATGGACAGGAGGAGCCTTCAGAGCATTTTCTATCTCCCATCTAACAGGGTTTTATGAAGTGTTTGCAATAGTGTCTCCAAGGCAGGGTTGAAGGCAGAGTGGGAATCACAGTGCAATCTGATGGAAGAGATATTTAGAGGGAAGAGACATATGGCATCTTAAATAAAAGAACCTACTCAGTGGTTAATCTCCACTTGAAAAACATCCAGGACAGGCTCGTCCATCTACCGTTGTACACCCTGCCATGCAGCCTGCTGTCCAAAGACACAGACACTGCACTTAGTGCCATGTCTCTTCCCTGCCGCTGCCCACAGCCCCTTCCGAACTGCACACCGGATCGAGACCTCCCCTAAAAGCCAGGAAGGAAATTCCCAGGAGCCCATGGCCCGAAGGGCTTGGGGGAATTGCAGCTCATTCCCCAGCTCTCAGTGGGTCCTGCCAATCCAAGCCAGCAGATCAAGGCAGGGAGGATGGAGACCATCAGCATCAACAGCATCCTTTATGGACTTTTATGGTCCTCAGTGGCCTGAAAGAAAAAGGAAGCAGGAAAAAAAAGTGGCTCCTTCCCGCAACTCTCCATGGGCACTTAGGACAATGATGAAATGCTCGGGCAATCACACAGTGTTTATTTAATGCCAGCACTATCCAAGCCTCTTTATAAACAAGCATGAGTAATGGGAAAGCGAGGGGGGGGGCAAAAGTTGCTCCCTCTTCCTCTCAGATCTTCTGAGTGAGCACTTTTGCCGTGATTTATCCTTCTTGCAACCTTATTGACTCACTGGGGATGTAAATCAAGCAACCCAACATTTTACCCGGAATTCCAGTTATTTATATAGAGATTGAAAGGGTATAATTACAGCTGCTAAATACGGCCTGGCAGAAAGGAGAGATACAGGTGTCTGTCTTCTTGGAGGTTAAGGATGGAAAAGTCCATGCTTGGCTCCCTGCCCATCCCTGGGGATCAGAGGCTCCGAGCGTTTCACTGCTCTGCTGGCATGGAGGATGGGCTGACATGTGGTTGGAGTTTGGCAATCAGTGCATGGATCTGCTGGAAAGGACCTGGCACTGGTGCTCTCCCTATTTTCCATCTCATATGTCCACCGTGTTCTGGGAAGAGATCCAGGGAGGACAATTTGGTGAGTGCTACCTATGATTCCCTTCATGTCTCCTCCAGGAGCTGGTGTTTCTCAGAAGGGGATGCTGTGCCATGCACTTGCTGCTGTAAAACAAGTGGATCTTTCCCCTCGTGGTCTGCTTCAACCCCGCTTCATCTTTCTTGTCCCATATGGAAGCTCCCATGGCCAGGACTGGTGGTGGGCAGGCAGCAGGAGCTGGCAGGCAGGTGGCCCACACTGCTCCCGTCCGTGTGCCGGGGGGCCAGCACATTAAAGCGAAGCTGTTCCATGCTCGAAGGGATTTCTGCTGTGGCTGGGATGGTGGGAAGGAGATTAACAGTGCTGCTTCCCCCTGGCACCGGCTTGACTGGCAGCTTGGGTAAAGAAGAGCCCACTCTAAGCGCTCCCAGGGGTCCAGGGAGGAGCTCATTATGTCTAGACTGGCAGTAGCCGGCAGTTCTGCTTTGTGGGCTGTGAAACTAATGTTTATCCACCACTCAGTTAGAGTCAGAGCTATTTAAGGAGCCCGGGGTATTAAGCAGGAGGAAGTGCATTACCCGGCGTGCTGCCGAGGCAGAGCTGGGTGAGGAGGATGGGAGCAGGACCCTGTCCTGAGCTGCGGAGTGATGGAGGGGTCTGCAGGGTGTCCCATCCCACCAGTGCTGCAGCAGGGCTTATTCTCTGCTTGCACACCGTCAGCTCCAGGCAGCGCTGTCTGTCTCATTTGTAAGTTGCCATGAACTTTAACAGCATCTCCCTGATCCCTTGGAATCCCAGTTTTTCCCACTGCTCCCGGTCATCCCTTCCTCCCTTTCCCTCCCTTTCCCTCCCTTCCTCCAGCAGCTGCAGAGCCGTCAGCAGCCCCTGTGCCTGTAGAGGCTGGAGGGTACCACGGCAGCACCCAGGGTACCTGAGCACCCCACGGCAGGGCCAGCACCAGGATGGAGCCCCATCCCTGTGTGAGGTCCCTGGTGCAGCCCTGGGGTCCCCACACGTTCCTCTAAGGCGCCCTTCAGAGGCCCAGCAGGAAAGGCATCTAAAATTCATAAATGTCAAGGAGGGAAGGAAGTGAGGACAACTAAATATAGACATCCAGCCACCTCCTTTAGGGCTCCGGGAGCAGCGTGACTGACACAGCCTAAAAGCCTCCTTGAGCTTGAGCCTGGCAAAGCGATTCAGGGCGGCCTGGCAACAGGGACCCCATTGTTTTGCATGGGCAGGCAGCTGCTGTGCACCCACAAACCCATCCTTGTCCACTCTCGTGTGTCCTGCTCCTTGTCCTGGGGGTCTCTTGCAAAGAGGACTTCAGAGCTAGACCCTGTTGTCTGTCAGCATTGCCATGAACGTTGCTAATGGGCTCTCTTGGCAGAGTGGGGCTGTCAGTGGGTCTCAGGTGTTGCATCAACCCTGGGAAGATGGAAGTGAAAACCTCCCTGATATTCCAGAACTGAAATGTCTCTGTTCCATAGGAAACGTTACTGTTTACTTCTGCTTCACTTAAGGGGAACAAAACTTGGGCCTGAAACACCGGGGCTCCCTATGGAAAGGAGATGCTGGGTACTGGCATAGCAGAAATAGCCGAGACCCAAAAAGCAGCCTGGGGTTGTCAGTCTTCAGTATCTGCTTTAATTATTACTCTGGTGGGACTTCCTCAGAGATTGTATTTCCACAGTGATAACTGTTATCACTTTATTTTATAGCCTCAGCTATTTGCAAGCCAGGAATAAGCCTGCTCAGTGTCACAAGGGGTTTCCAGGACACGTTCAAGACCAGGAAGCACCAACTGACACCGGTTTACAAGGAGCACGATGCTGTCCCCATGCCTGCATCCCATCCAGGATCCCTGTGACCTGTGCCCTGTGAAGGACAAACACCAAGGACGAGGCGTTTGAGGGGCTTCGTGCTTGGCTGCGGGGCCAGGGCAGCATCCGGGAGCTGCAGGGCTCCCCTCCTTTGCTGTCAGGATGCGGCCCCGGTTAGTTATGCGCCGATCGAGTGAGGAAATGGGATGCTGGGGCCGGCTCCCTGCAAGGCTCAGCCCGTGTCTCCCCGGCCCCATAATTTTTGTTGGGAAGTTTTATCTTTTTAATTTGTTACATATCACACATCCTCTGATTAATTATTGCTTCTCTGCAGGGAGGACTAGAGTTTATAGAGCAATATAGCATTAGTGTTAGCTTTATACACCCTCAAAGCCCAGAGGAAGCTCGGCAGAGTACTTATGCGATGTTCTGTCGATAATAATGACTCAGCATTTGGCCGGCTCGGGGTGTATCAGAAGTGCTTTATTAAAAAGTACACAGTATATGCATCGGACATAAATACAGGCAGGAGAGGCGAGCGTGATGTGCTGCATACATAGCAGTCAGTGCCTGTGCTGGGGCCTGCCTCTGCCTGCTCCATGGATCCCTGGCAGTGCAGGAGTTTAATTGCCACGGTGGCCTGGGATGCATTGAGCTGCTTGGCATGTCCTTCAGCCCTGCGAATGCAGAAACAGCCACAATCCAATTCCCTTTACAACCGCATGTCTCCGCCGGCTGAGCGGGAGCCCTCTCCCTGAAGGAGCCTTCCCATCCAGCGAACGCTCTTAAGGAGGCTGTACAAGTGATGGGGAAGGCATTGCGGCAGGATAACGGCGAGGAAATGCAGTTGAACATTTCCAGCACTGAGTAAACCATATGTCTTCATAATTTGATTGTGCCCCGGTCCCGCAGGTACCTCCCAGCTCTATTGAACACCGATGGAGTTATTTAGAATCATAAATAATATTATCAAAGAGGGTCTGCTGGGTAAACAGAGCCAGTGTATGAATTGTCGGCGCGAGATATTGATTGTTGGGAGCTGGCTAATGAATTATTCTGTTTGAGGGCCGTGGAAATGATGCTCGGTGTTTGCAAGGCAAAGCCCCTGCAAGAACTCCCCACTGCCCTGTGGGGCTTTGTTGTCCGGGCTGCAGCAGGCAGCAAGCACGGGTCCTGGACCCCAGGCCCCTTGGTGGCGAGCAGGCGGGGGGGTCATCTCCTCCTCCTCCTTTCTCACCTTCCCTCTTCCTTCCATCGATCTGTATGCATTGAGGGGACCCACTGCGGGATTTGGGTGCACCAGACCCCATGCCAGGTCCCCAAGGCTTCCCATTGCTCCCAGTGCCAGCACCTTTCCCTGCCTGCAGGGAACCTGTCTCCCACCTCCTGATACTTGTTGGCTTTTGGGCTTTGCCTATGTTTAAATAGGGTTTTTCCCCCCCGAGGTGTATCAGCAGCCTCAAGCCCTGCCCCACAAAGAGGAGAAATGAGCCGTCTTTTTGAGCAGAATTGGCTTTTTTTTCCCCTCACCTGCATAATGTGTTCTGTTAAATTTATAGTTTTTCTGTCCCTTTGATGTAAGGGACTGAAAACTCTTCCCCACTAATCTCATGCAGCAGCGCCTGAAACGCTGAAGGCGCTGGCTGGGGATATGGCAGGGAACCAGACAACAATTATTGGCGTTCTGGGGGCTGGGGCAGCATTGAAAGACAGCTAATTTTAAAATAAATTATGCTATTAAACCCGCTTTTGTTCTTTCTCCTGCTTCCTGGGCTCCAGGCTCAGCGGGGAAGAGGCAGAGCTGCAGCATCCCAGCTCCCAGAGGAGCGCACCGGCTGCTTGCAGGCAGGAGGAAGTGGAGGGTGGCTTTGGGAACAAGACTCTGCCCCACCAGACCCAATACTGGTACAGGCATTGACCCATTCAAGCCGGTCCCTCACAAATACAGTGGGATCAATTTTCCTGGTCCATTAAGCGTTCCTGAAATCACGATTTCTCACCTGTATGACAGCATCTCTGACTTTGCTCACTTTCCCTTTCTTCCTAAAGCTCAGCAAGACACTGACAACTGAGGGTTTCACACCCAAGAAACCCAAGGGAAAACTTCAGCGTTGCCACATCTTCACTTCCAGGCAGGAATAGCCAGAACCCCGGCTCAGCATCTTCCAGAGGTCAAGTGGGCTTGTGCTCTGGCTGCCATTTACTGGTTAACAAAAATCTTAGGGATGTGATTCTCTCCCACAAGCAGCTCCGGAGCAGGATGGAGTGGAATGCCTGGGAGCACACTGGTTGAGTGTGCACTTTTGCCCTGGTGTGCAGGGTCAGGAAGGAGTTAAACCAAGGCACCCCAGGACCTTAGCGTCCAGTGTGATCCAGGCCATTTAATTAGTGCCCCAGCTTGGCAGGGATGCTCTCCAGTGTTCTCCCCTGGGGAGAAGCACACCGGCTCCCTTATATTGCCTGTTATCTTTCAAGTAGTCAGAGCAGAATGCTTTTCCAGTAACCTCATCAAAGGATAAGCCAGGATTCAGATAAGCTTTTCAAGGGGGAAGTCAGGGTTATAATTTTCAGAGACTTCTGAATGTCACCTCCAATTTTCAGCTCTGCCGTCGGAGCGGCCGCTTTTGGACGGCGCCCAGCCTCAGATATTGAAATGGTGACCCCTGGACTCGGGCCACCTCAGTTCCTGGTCAGCATCAGCCTGGCAGATCCCCTGGTTGAAAGTGCCTGAGATTTCTGACTTTGTAATAATGCCGTTTCTCAGAAGTGCAAATTACAGAGGAATTGGTGCTAAACTCCCCATTAACAATAGAGCCCAAGAAATCCTCAGTGTCCCAAATTACCTGTCACTTTCCCTGTAACACGGCATAATTCTGTCGCTTAAGAGAGAGAAAAAAAGGGGCTGTAATTTGAAATTTCAGTGAAATTCCTAATTGAGCACACAGCTCACTTCCATGTGCCATTCCCCCCCTCAGCACAGGGCGCCTCCTCCCATGGGCACTGGGATGGTCCCCCACGGTCCTGCTGGGACCCCAGTGGGGATGCTTCCCCCTTCTGTGCTCTCCTTCAGGTGCTGGGAACCCTCCTGCAGTGCTCAGCTTCCAGGGATGTGGGTGCTTTGGAGGATGCCCATGGGTATGGGTACCAACAGTGCCCAACAGCTACACACGCCATAGAGAGAAGGTGCAGGAAAACTCCAGCTAAGGCTGATTTCAGGGTTAACCCAGCTGCTGTGCCTATACTTGTGTCTCAGGGGAGAAATTAGCTTATTGAAAGGATTTGCATAGGGGAGGCAGGAGATGGAGGGCAGATAGAGCAGATGACATTGACAAGCATGGAAGGAATTAGGCTCTGACCTGGTTTTTGGAGGGGGACGTCTTGTTGTGAGTTAGAAATGGCTTTTGGCTGTGTTTCTGTCCTGTGGTCCTGTGCCTCTGTGTGATCATCCTCACCCTGCGGCGATGTGCTCATCCACAGCCGCAGTCATCTCTCCTCCTTTGCTTTCCTGATGCAATTCCCATAGCTTCAGAATGGCTGGTTTGGACTTATCCCAGCAGGGGAAGAAAATTGGGTCCCCAGAGTCCATTTGCAAGCATGCTCCGGCTCCTGTTTTTCTCCCTGTAAATGGCAGTGCTGTTGCACTGCTTTCTCTGTGAGATTCCGAGTCTGTGTAAGTGTATTAATCCAGTTCATCTGCAGTCAAAAACTTGTTCCTGGTGCAATTAGCAGCAGTGCTCCTAATTGCTTTCTTCAGCCTTAACTTGCCATCCATTTTCCATGCCTTTCTCTTGCTTCCCAAAGTGGTTTCCTTGCTAGGTCCCAGAGCACAGATGTGCTCCATTAGCCCCATCACCATGGCCCCAGCCCCAGCTGCTTTTGCTTTGTATAAATGCCTGAAGCAGGGCAGCAGACCTTCTTGGTTCTGCTGGACTCAGATCACTTTGGTGCTGCTGCTCCGGGGACAGTGATGGGAATGCATGTGGTGAGTCAATCCCGATCCCGGTTGGCTGTGGCGTTCTGGTGGGCTGGCAAGAGGTGGCTAAGAAAGGGGTCCTGTGTGAGCCTTTGGCATAGCAAGATTAGTTCTGGTGGGTTGCTCCCCTTTATGCTGTTTTGTTGCAGGAGTGATGCTGGTGTTTTGGTGGCTGGCAGGGATGCAGAGCCTTGGTGGTCTCTTTCAAGGGGGAAGCCAAAACCGGGTTTTGACATAGCTGGGTTTTACCTTTGGAGGCTGGTGTTGGACCTCAGCAAGGAGTGATGCTGGCAGGGCCAAGGCTCTTTATCCCAGTACGGTGCTTTTAGCCCCCAAGGAAGCATTGCTGGCTGCAAGTGAAACCCTCAGCAAAGCACTGAGCCTGGCTGAGCTGGCCACAGGCTGGGCAGGAGCTGGGTGAGCATTGCTCCTTCCGCTCCCTCCCTCGCCCCAGTGCCTGAGGAGGAGTGGGATGCTGGCAGCTCCCTTCCCACGGGAGAGGGGGCAGGAAGGTGTGTGGGTGCAAGGACGGAGAACTCGGTGCTGTTCCTTCCCTGTGTGCGCTTTCTCTTTTCCCCTCCTGACTGAATCAATAATTAAGCATATTCTAAGTAGTGCAGTTTTGCTTGAAATTTTCCATTTGGCTTGGGCATCGGTTGGAAATGAAATATTTAGAGGACAGAATATAGTAATAAAGCCAAGACACATTTTCTGCTAGTATATTTTATTTATTTTGTTTAATAATGAGGTTCTGTGCCTGCCTCTCCTCCCCGCCATATCAGTGGCTTTCTCCTCTTCCCCTTTCCTTTGGAGGCAGCAGATAATATCCCCCTCCTGAAAAAATAATGGAGCCTGGCTTGTCTAACAAATCAGGTGCTATGCTCTGATGTTGTAAGTGTTCAAAGGAGCTTCCTGGAAGGCTCTGGGAGAGGAGTAACCCTGCATCTCCGCACGGATGCTCCCGCTCACCATCGAGCATCTGCAAGGGCAAAGCGAAAGGGATTCCTGCACTTAACATCATTTGTTCCCTGGTGCGAAACCTTTAATGATTCCCTGGGAAGAGGCTGGATCCCTTCCACACGGGAATGCGACCCGCCCTGCGCCGGCTCCTCCTCTGCGTCTCAGTGCTTCCACTTGCCAAATATATTCTGAGTCATTTGGGGCCTTTTCCTCACCTCCTTCTGTCGAGATGTTTGCGAGAACGCGTTCCCCAGGGGATGGCAGGAATACATTAGGGATGCGAGCGGTGGGCCTGGGAGGAAGGGCTGGATGCTGAGCAGTTGCTGCAGGACCCAGTGTGGGTCCCGTCACCAGACCCACTGCTGCGTCTTCCCAGTTGGTCCTCGTTCCCTTTGCTGTAGCGGGTGGGAAGCAGCTGCGAATCTCTTTGCACCCTCACCCTTTATTCCCCCTGTTCTGCTTTTGGGATGTGAAAGCAAATGTAAATCCCTCAAATAGAAATTACTCCGAGGAAATTCATCTCATGTGCAGCGGAGCGCTTCATCCCGACCGCTTCAAACTATTTCACTGCGATTTTGATCTTCTCTTCAAAACCTGTTTACAGTTAAAAAAACTGAAGGAAGAATGTATGTATTTGGAATTGTGTATGTATTTGAAATGGAGTATTTCACACGAGCAGACTCGGTGCCGGCAGCCCTTCTTGGCTGAAAGGCAAATTAAGGTTTATGGCAAAGGAAAGCAAGCTGGAGCTTCCCAGGCATGATGGGGGGGGGGGGCGACTGGCCCCGCTGGAGCTCTGAGTGTGTTTCCTTGTGGATGAACTCTGTAGGCTTGGGCCACGGTCCTCTCCTTGCATGGCAAAGGCTTTGCACAGGGTGGTGGCTGAGCCAGGTCACAGCTCCAGGGCTGCTCCTTTTGGGATGCTCCCATTGGGATGATTGTGCCATGAGAGGGGTCCCTGGGTCCATTCGGGTTTGTGTGCACAGCAAAAGGCATTTTCCACTGGTAATACCCATCCCCAAAGCTTCTTGGTCGTGGCTTCTGCTTTGCAAAGCTGTGATTAAATACATTAAATAGAAGACCAGAAATCCCTTCCCATGGCAGGAGGCCTGGAACTACATGGTTTTGGAGGCACTTTCCAACCCAAATCATTCTATGATTCCTTAAAAACCCCTCCAGTCTTCTGCTTCAGGTGTGAAGGCGCTTCACGTAACTAATTATTTGCACAGCTTGCCTCTCCAAGTCCCTTCCTCTTCAGATAAGCATTTTGTACACATCTGAACTTGGGCATTAGGAGGAAAGCGGAGCTGGAGCCGTGTTGATCTGCTCGGGATCTCACTGTGGGTGAGAAGTGAATCGGCTCCTCTTCAGCAAATCAGGGGGCCCAAAGGTGGTGT